CGGGGGTTGAAGGAGGGATGGTTTTTCCTCAGTCTGAGCATTCCGTAGACGATACGCTTCGCTATACACGCTCGCAGCTTGCCTCGCTTCGTCTTGCCTCGCGTTCGACTCGCCACTCTCCCCGACTCGCTCTCTTTTACTCCGATTCAAGAACCGCCCCCTCTCCCATTCTTTTCTACCTTCCGCCTTCTTTATCCTTGCTGCTTCCTCGTCTATCCGCCGGTGGATTCGCGTATAGACGCGGGCCACCGGCAAGAAGTAGACAATTCACAATTAGCAAACACAAACAGAAGTACGAGTGGCTTCAAGTTGGTTGGGACGCGGTGGCAACGGGCTTAGCCGGAAGCGAATGGTGGGGTAGGGACTTCTGGGATGCGAAGCGACTAGCTTGGCAGTCCCTGAGCGTCAGCCTCCGCTCCGGAATACTCTTCTCGACTCCCGGCCCAACAGAGACCGGCGAAGGCGCGTGTATGTTCTGGAGATAACGGGTGTTGTCCTCCTACGCGTACCATATTTCGATTGCTCGAATTCCGGGGTACGAAATCTGTTTCGATTCGATCAATTTCGATTTTTCTTTCGATTCACGTATCCAGATGCGTGTAAATAAGAATTTCGCCCTCCTTTCGTGCTCTTCTCTAGCAAGAGCAGGACGTATCGTATCGATTCCTCGACTCTTTAAATTTTTCTTTTTCATTTCCATATGTGATCGATCGATCACGCGCGCGTTTAAAGATCAGGTGGGTGCAAAGATTCGAGATTTCGTTGGCAACGATTCGATACGATTCTCGTAAAATGTGATAATTGATCGTGGGTGAAATCATGTCACCATGTATCTCGATGACATCTCTTCCGACCGATCAATCGTACGATTTTCTCTGATCCCGTCTGGCCTGGTACACCCGGTATATACGCGCATCGGGCTCTCACCGTTGCGTTGGAACACTTGAAGCCCCAACCAGTTACGGCAACAATAGGCTTTGTCTTCGCGCCGTCGGCGCTCGCAAATTGGTAGAAATCTTGATTAAAGGTGCAATTCCGCTGCTGCCTACGGACAAATATGAATTGCACCCCCAATGCTCCCACTCCCTCGCCTCCCTCCTCCTCCTCCTCCTCCTCCTCCTCCTCCTCCTGCTCTTCCCTCCCCCCTCCCTCCGCTCCTTTTTTTACCGTTCCGACAAATGAAAATGGAAAAAACGTGTTGTGCGCTATCTGTACGCTTCTTATGGCGCGACAAGTCTGCGGCTTTCCAAGGATCAAGATGATGGACCTATCCCCTTTGAAATCAGACACTGTCTCGTCGTTAAAGATATCGTCGATACGGTTAAGAGGGAATGTTGATCGTTTTCTCTCTGTACTCTCTTCCTCTCTCTCTCTCTCTCTCTTTATCCGTATCGTCCCCTTCCCTCCGCTTCCTTGTTACCTCGTTTCGCCCGTATTAAGAAAGATGTGTTTCATCGGGCCAACGATGTATTTATCCGCCGATGCATCCGGTGATTCGATTTCGTTCATAGTTCGAGGAGATAATCCGATTGCGAGATTACACGGCGAGATTCGGATCGATAGAGCATGATCCCGGCAATGGGAAAGGGAGAAACAGCAAGACACGTATAGAAATGGAATATAATAACGCGTTGTATATGACAGATGCGACAGGACCACTTGCGATAATCCGCCTTGGATTTATCCTTTTCGAGAAAATCCCGAAAATAGGTAGGTGTATCATATGCGCATTACCCACCCGAAATTGCTCGTTAACATTTCGATTTGTACTGTTTTTTATGATTAATTAAGATTAATTAATAATTTTATGAATCTTTTTTTCCACGTTCCCTTTGTACGTACACGACACATCACTCTTTTTATTTCTCTATCTAAAAAATTTGAAAATCGAGAAATCTTGATATTATCCGATTGGAATCTCCTGCACACGCATCGATAGTCCCTGAAGGCTTGGACGCGTTCATGCTCATCCTATGCAGAACACACATCACAAAACTGAGTCAATTTACATAACGATAATTGAAACGTACATGAAAGCCCGTTCCCAAGTCATGGCAATACCATCAGTAAACGGGCTTTGAATTTCGAAAAGCGTATCGATATTCTCTGAAATCGTGTATCGATCGAGAGAGGGACTTACGAAATAAATTTGCCTGAAAAATTGCACGAAACGTTATTAATTTTATGTGCATCGCAGATATAGTAAGAATATATTCTCAAAATTTCTATAAAATAAAAATTTTTTAAAATTTGCAAAAAATTTTGATGAGTAGAATGTTACAGAACAATTGCAGTTTCGTTAAAAAATAACGGTAAATATATATATTTATATCCAGCTATAATTAATGTATAAATACTTTCTACGATATCTTTAAAGATATATATATATAAAAGAAATATGTAATATAACATCGATATAAAAAAATATATATATTTAAATGTTAAGATTTTTAATCGAAAGGTTAAGCAAAAAAATACATTTACAACAAAAATACAAAATACAACATTAAAGTTAATAAGATATCGAATCAACCTATTAAGAAGTTTTAGAAAGTATATACAAAAGGAGCAAATAAGTGGGAGAAGGATAGAGATAAAATAAAAATTATGAAATCAGCGCCATCTCCAGAGTGCCGCAAATGAAACACATATAGATAAAGAGAGCAAATAGAAAAAGAAAGATAGATATAGAATCAGAATTAACTCTTAACGCCATCTCTTGAGTGCTATAGATATTTATTTAGGCAGGGTAAAGTAGAATAAGGCAGAATTAAGCATCAGCGCCATCTCTTGAGTGCTATAGACATTTGTCTAGGCAGGGTAAAATAGAATAAAGCAGAATTGAGCGTCAGCGCCATCTGTTGAGTGTTTGTGAAAAAAATGTCTTTTGTATTCAAGAGATGGCGCTGACAGTACGATTTTTCACCTTATTCATTTATTAAAAAGTATTTTTAGAACTCAAAAGATGGCGCTAGCGTTCATTTATTTTATTTTATCTCTGTCCTTCTCTCATTATTTGCTTTCCTTATCTATACTTGCTCTTCTTTCTTATAACCTTATTTCACTTGCTGAATCGATGAACGATTTGCAAGTCTATTTTATACGTATTCCGTACCCAAAATATATCGGTATATGTAACTATCTATTCTAAAAAACATTCAAGATACAACATACAGTGTATTAGAAGTAAATAATTAGAAATAAAGTAAGTAGTAATTAGAGATAAAAGTTATTATTTGAAATATATGTTTATTATTTTTCTTTTCAAATTATTTATTTAGATTATATATTATAGTATATATAAAATGTTTAAATTACAAACTTTTCTAATTCATTAATATACATTCTATTTTTTCAGAATCCTTACGAATTTTATGTAATTTACGGAATTTACTATCCAAAAATAGAAAGTCAATTTTATATATATCTCATGGATAGCTATTTGCCTTGTATTCTTACTGGTTTTATATTTTATGCCTTTGGCTTAAAATGGTGTTATGAATATGCTAAATATTGGGTATCTTTAAGACCTAGGGATGATCCTCACGCGACAAAGGGATTAAGATTTATAGAAAAATGTGAAAGACTTATAAATAGACATCCTATAGAAGGAAGTTTGAAGTTAATAGCAACCGCCGTAGGATTAGCTGGTACATTAACCGGTGGTCTGCAACAAGTTGGAACTGTTTCACCAAAAGTTGTACTTGCGACAATCTATTTATTTTTTGCATTTTCTGGTCTAGTTGATGTTTTAAACTTTTATTTTCCTCATAATGTAAGCGAAGGATTAGTTAAATTGGCACTTGCTCAAAGTTTTTTCATAGAAGGATTTTTATTCTTATTGGGAAGTGTTGGAAACAATGCATTAGTTGATAAAATTTTAGCCCTTATAGTATGGACAACATCTTTGGCTATTACGTTAGAACTTGTGTGGCCTGAATTGAAACTTTTAAGAGCCTGTACAACATTACTTCACGGTGGTTGGATAGCGCATGTAGTAAGGGTATATCATACAATGCCAATGTTACCAGAAGGTATTGCATTGATATTTTCTTGGCATGTAGCTGCTGCTTCAGCTGTAACATTGTGTGTAGTAGCTGCAACAAGAAGTTGTGCTCCCAAACTCATGATGGAAGAACCGCCAGAGATACCTATTTATGATTATTGTCAAGAACCAGACCAGAGAATGTAAATTATGAATGGATGCAATATATAAAAACTTTGTGCCAATATGAAATTTTTATAATATGCATAAAAATAATATTTTTAAAGTAGTAGATCATTAGCATTGTAGAATCAAAAAATCAAAACATAAATCAATTATAATTTTTACACACAATGTTAATATTTTTTTACTTCATATTTAATAACTTCATTTTATAATACAACGAATAATTCTATTTTTAACTATATTTTAACTATATTTATACAATAAATGCATATAACATAAACAATTTTATAATATCCTCAAGTTGTAGGTAAAATACTCATTAGGAATTAAGAGGTGCCTTATTATTATTGCTCACTTATTTATTAATAGAAAAACGCCGCGTAATTTCATCTTTTGTAATATGTTTTTTATTTTTCACAAACCTATTATATGTACCAAAAATATCGTATAATTGTACATTGTAAATATATTTTTTTTTTATTAAACTTTATAATCCACGAATAATTGTAATTTATTATAATGTAAATAGCAAATTTTCCTTTCATATAAATTCATTTTATCTAAAGAATAATTAAAAAAATTGAAAATTAATTATTATTAATGTTTTTTACTCGTATATAGTTATATTAAATAATATTAATTACGATCAAAATAAAATTATTAGACATATAATAAAATTATTAGACATTGATTTGAAATTCATTGCAATACCAACATCGATACGATATATGTCTCTATTAATAACCTAGATTTATTTTTACTAGTAACTAGTTATATCCGAATTATAACTATACTGTTATCTTTTTATCAATAATAACAATAAATTCAAATCTTGGTTAGGTTTTCAATAATAACATGTAATATAATAACAATAATGTACTATTTAAAAGATTTCTTTCATTATTTAATTAATTTTTATCTATGTGTGATATATATGAGTCTACAATGTAGTGCAGTTTATAGTCAATAATTATGGCCTGATGCTATTTTACTTTTTGAAAAATAAAGAGAAAGAAATGGAGACAGCAACAATTGTAGAACCTATGGAGGAAAGTCCTGAAAAGATTCAAACAAGTCCTCCAATACAAATAGTGAGAGTTCCAGTAAAACATGCTAATCTTGGAATAAGAAGCCATGCCATGTAAGAGTTTAATACAAGAAAGTTGCTTATTATATGATTACTGATTATTATTTATTTTTCAGGGATATGAGCACAATGGTGGAGCTTACATCTTTCAGTACACTTGGAAAAATACAACCATTTTTAGTTACTATAACAACTACTGCAGCATTATTGGTAGATTTACATTGTCATTTAACAGATAAAGAAGTTTGTGGCTATTTAGGTGGTCATTGGGATATTAATTCACATAGTAACTATATCTATAATGTTCAATAGAATTGATTACAAAATTTTAATTATTAAAAATTATTTTTTTTAAAATAATAGATTTATCTATAACAACTGCTTTTCCATGTCGTTATTCTGGCAAAGATAAATCAGCTGCAGCTGCAGTTGAAACTGAAATTGCAAGAGCAATGGAATGGAAACATGTGACTTTAGTTGGATGGTATCATTCTCATCCTAGATCTCATGCTTCTCCTTCTCTTAGGGATGTTGATTCACAATTAGATTATCAAATTAAAATGAAAGGACCTAGTGATAATGGTTATACACCATGTGTGGGTTTAATATGCTGTATGTTTTTTTTTACATATATATATATATAACAGGATTTATTATGTAGAATTTTATAATTAAATTCCATCAATTCAAAGAAAATATATTAATTTCAGCACCTTATAATACGGATGGCAGTTGTTATGAATCAAATTTTAATGTTTTTTGGTCCTTACCGCCTCCCGAAAATCGGCCTCATGAATACCCAAGACCAATGCTTTTGAGTTATACATTATCTCAAGAGCATTTTCTTTCTCAAGATACATTAGAAGAAATTGTAAATCCATTATTCTATATAATTAATAATTTAATAAAAGCAAAATCTCTTTAATATTTTTTTTTTTTATATATATATATATATATATTTTTCATATTTTTGCTTTTAGAGAAGATGCATAGAGTATTATAAAAGTGAAGGAGGTATTGATTTTACTGCCAATTTTAACAATAATACGACTTATCTTGAACGTTTAAGGGTAAGTTTATAAAAAATGAGATAAAAGTAATATTAATACTAAGATATTTCAATATTTTTAGTGTTCTTTAGCATCCAAGTTACCAGGTCGTAATAGATCGAACGGTTCGTACTGGGATATAATTAGAGAAATGATTTGTCCTGGTTCTGAAGATGGAACTTCACCGGAATTTTTGACTATGAAATTTCCTCTGGTACCAGTTTCAGAATCACTTGTTCCTTCAGTTCCACCAGGAGTTAGTCTTGCACCTAATAATGCAGCTGTCTTCCTAACACCTGTGAATTTTAAACCTGATGGTGCTATAATTACACCTACATCAAAATCTTTTGTGATGCAACCATCTACTTCTAGAGATAATATTAAAAAGGATATTATAAGTACGGATTCCGCATCTATTACGCAATTAAAAGATGGAAATGTTTCGTCTAAACAACATATATCACCATCAGAAGTAATGCCCAGTTTTCAATCTGGAGAACTCACAGTTTCTGTAAAAAATGCTAAATGTGATTATGATTTTGCACCTACTGATTTTTCGAAAATATCCAATGCTCTTGGAACTGATACAAGTATCAATAAAACGCGATCGTCCACATCTGATTTCCCTTTAGCTGATATAACGCAACAAATTTCTAAGTTTTCAGATTTATCAAAATTAGCTAATTTCTCTACAGCAGATTTAGCAAAACTTTCTGGATTTCCTATTCCAGATTTTGCGAGAACATCATCGCCATCGCCGTCTGCATATATGCGTAATATTGCGAATTTATTTGGTCCAATCGGAAAAATTTCTCCTGCAAGAGATATTGAATCGAACGAACGTAAATCAAATGATTTCAGTATAGTTGATTCTATTCAATCGCCATTTAAAGTAAGTTCTGGATCTTCAGAATCTTGTAGAAATTTTTCTGCAACTCCTGAAGATTACTCGACTGATCGTAAAAAAATGGACGTACAAAATGATAACGTAAAGCTCAATCGATCGAATGAGTATCAAGGAACAGAAGATCTCTCAATTTCTAAATCTGAGTTTAGTGGAATGTTGGACATGACTACAATTCATAAAAAGCAACAACAGTCACAAAGTGGTGATATTGGCGATTCGTTAAATTTATCAAAAGATCGTCAATAGATTTGCTACATTAATCAGTATTTCAGGATTATTATTATTTCTGTCTCTTCATATTATATTGTCTGTCTGCATAAATATATTTAAATGTGACTTTTATTCTTACATTTATTACTTGCGCAATACTTACACATGTGCATATTAAATTATTTTTTTTTAATTATAGAAATATTCAAATCAGTGCGATTATTTTTTACATTTATTGTACTTAATAAATTAATGTTTTTTTAATATTTGTTCTCTCATTTGTTTATCCTTTCCTATGGATATAATAATTTTATTTTAAATAATAGTAATAACGAAGGTATATATTATATCTACATATACAAAAAATATATTGCATCATTTTATGTAGTATTCGCTGGGAATAAATGTGTATTTCCCAACATAATATTCGTAAGTAATAAATTATGAAGTTTATCAAAAGACATTAATTAAGTAAACATTTGTAAGTGACAAATATAATTTTTATATAATATCTATATTCATATAGGTAATATTTGAAACAAAATTGTACTTTGTAACAATTACGTTATCTAAGGTTAGAACATGTTATATCGTGACAAATGAAATAAACTTGTGTTGTTATAAGAATAATTATGTTTCGTCCATCAAGAAATTTATTATATTCTTTACATCGTGTCAAGAAATGTTGTGTAGTTTATTTTAATCAGGATTTATCAGAAGTAGACAATGAATGTAAGAATACTATTTTATAAAATTATGTATATATTTATTATGTTTATTATGTTTATCATGTGTTAGTATATTAATTATATTTTTTATTAATTCTAATACATTGATATATGTTTTTATTTCAGCTATTTTCTCAGATGAATATAAAAGGAGATCTGCAGAAGGCAAGCCACTTTATTTGGATGCTCAAGCAACTACACCTATAGTAAATAGATTTGATGATTTATATTATAAATATTGACATTGAAATTGAAATCTTTTTAATTTTTATGTAGGATCCAAGAGTATTAGATAAAATGATGCCATATTTTACATCATATTTTGGAAATCCACATTCTAGAACTCATGTGTATGGATGGGAATCAGAAGCAGCTATTGAACTTGCACGTAAAGTTAATATCATATATAATTTAAATTTAATTAAATTACTTTCATTGAAAAAAATAATTATTTAATAAAATGATAATCAAATATTTCATTTTTAAAAGCAAATAGCAAATATAATAGAAGCAGACACCAAAGAAATTATATTTACATCTGGAGCCACAGAATCTAATAATATAGCTATTAAAGGTGTTGCAAGGTTCTACAAAGAAAAAAAAAATCATATTGTGACGACTCAGATAGTATGTTAATAACATTGGATTATTAACAATATATTGTTAATAATAATAATACGAATCTATTTTTATATATAATTTTATTAATATAGGAACACAAATGTGTATTAGATTCCTGTAGAGCTTTGCAAGCAGAAGGATTTGATGTAACTTATATTCCAGTAAATCCAAATGGTCTTATTAATCTTGACGAATTAGAAGATGCAATTAAACCAACTACCTCTTTAGTTTCTGTGATGATGGTGAACAATGAGATTGGTGTACAACAACCAATTACAGAGATTGGTGCTATTTGTAGGTAAGGAAAAATATATATTATGAATTCAGATTCAATACAATCATAAATTTTATTAATTTTATAATTTATCTATTAATTTATAGAAGGAAAAAAGTGTTTTTCCACACAGATGCAGCTCAAGCAATAGGAAAAATTCCAATTGATGTTAATAAAATGAATATTGATTTGTTGTCTATCAGTGGCCATAAATTATATGGTCCAAAAGGTATATTTAAGATATATTTTTGTTATATTTTTTTAAATTATTGGAATATTTTTATATTATAGAATATAATGGAATTTTTAGGAGTTGGAGCTTTATATGTAAGAAGAAGACCAAGAGTACGTGTAGAAGCAATTCAAAGTGGTGGTGGTCAAGAAAGAGGTATGAGAAGTGGCACTGTTCCAACACCTTTAGCGGTAGGTCTAGGAGCAGCTTGTCATATAGCACAAACAGAAATGGAGGTAATATTAATTATAAACACATATATTTTGTCATATACTAAATATTTTAATATATTAATTTTATTTTTTTCCCTTAGTATGATCACAAATATATCACAATGCTTTCGAACCGATTAATCGAAAAAATAATGTCAAATTTATCGCATGTTATACGTAATGGAGATAAACAAGCTTGGTATCCTGGATGTGTGAATTTATCTTTTGCATATATAGAAGGAGAATCTCTATTAATGGGCTTGAAAAATATTGCTTTAAGTAGTGGTTCCGCATGTACTAGTGCAAGTTTAGAACCTAGTTATGTTTTAAGAGCAATTGGAACATCAGAAGATTTGGCACATTCCAGTATTAGGTAAATTACATGATATGATATATATATATATTGAAACAAAATAATTATTTTTTAATTATTTTTTATTTATATAGATTCGGTATTGGTCGTTTTACAACAATCGAAGAGATTGATTATACCGCAGAAAATACGATTCGACATGTTAAAAAACTTAGAGAAATGAGGTAGGTAAATAAGCTCTTATTTAATTATAATATATTTATTTGGTATGAAAATCACATATGTATTATTCTAATTTTATGAATATGAAAAGCGCGATATCATGAGAAACTGATAAATTTATTATTATATGGACGTTTTTTATAATTAAGATTATATAGTCTTAAATATTAATTATAATACATAAGTAGTAATATATATTTAAATTGCTTATTTTTCACAGTCCATTATGGGAAATGGTCGAAGAGGGAATTGATTTGAAATCTATTAAATGGACTCAACATTAGTGACTCTTTTATTACATATTTTCAACTATCTAATATGTAGATAGTATGAATTAAATATATATAAATAAGTTAAACAAAACTAATTAAGTAAAACTTATGAATGTGTAATAAATGTTTATTTAAAATTTTTTATTTTGTGATTTTTAAAATAACTTCAATTGTATATAAATTTTATTGATATTCCCCCTTTTTTCCCATTTTTTATTTAATGGTGCTTTTCTATATAGAAAAGCTTACTATTATCATTACTTGATACAAAAAGTTATTTTACACTCTGCAATAAAATATTGCAATGTGTTAAGTTATTATAAAAATGTTGCATCAGAAGCATATATTTGCCAATATTCATTATTTAGCATAAACATGATGGATCAGCAGCTTCATCAATGTATGAAATTTTAAACCTATCTTTGTCCATTTCATGCAATTCCATGCGTGATCTATTAGCTTCTACTAAATGTTGTGCTATATCTTCAAACATTTCATGTATTCCTTCTCCAGTCTTACAGGATGTTTTATATATACCAGAAATTAAATTATGGCATTGTTCACTGTAATGAATATATTAATGATAATATATATTATTTATATTATATACATTATTTTCTTTTATTACATATGTATATATTACATTGTACAGATTATATATACTATATTAATACAATTTTTATTGTGATTCTCACCAAATAATTTCACAATCATCAATATTATGAAACTCACCAAAATTGTTCCATTTCTGCATCTGTTACTTGTGGAGATGAACTTTCTAAATCACTCTTATTTCCACAGAGAAATATCTTTGCATTTTCAGCATATGTAACAATATCAAGCAAATGTTGAGATAAAAGATGAAATGATGTTGAATTATCTAATGCAAAAACTAATATAGCAGCTTCTGCAAATTTATAATAGCTTGATGTTACTGATGCAACTCTTTCCATACCACCTGTATCCCATAATTGCAACTGAAACATATGATAAAATGAAATATTTAATTAAATTTGAATGTGAATACATTATATATTTAAAATAAATATAAGTTTTAATGTACATCAATCTTCTAGGTACCATATAAAATATATATTTATAAAAATATATTTATGAAAAAATGAGATTAATTTCGTATTTAATTCGGTTTCAAGAATTGTGAATATATATATAAATATGTATATGTATATACGTATATATGAACATATTACTCGTATTCGTCTGTCTTCAACTACATATTCTTTATCGATATTATCGAGACCCAATGTCGATTTTCGATCGTTGTTTGCTATAAAAGTATTGTTCGCAAAACGTCTAAATATAGAAGTCTTTCCAACACCGTATTCTCCGCACAGAATAACTTTCTGCTCGGTTACTTTAACGGTAGCCATGTTAGGCTTATATCACTTTGCCGGTTGTACTAAAATATAAAAGCAATTGCATCAATAATAACGAATCATTATTGCTTGCATTTTTTTCAATAATGTGAAAATTTTATTCAATGGATATTTTCATGTATACATTCACTAACATGAGTGCGATGACAGTCGTGACAACAGAAATATTATATCAGTAACGGACCATAAATCACTACTATTATAGAGTATCTATTCACATTGTTACGGTGCAGTAGAAATTTTAATGAATTCATAAATAAAATATCGAATAAGTATCTATATTAAATTTAAAAGTGAATTTTAAATAAGAATTTTGTATAATATAAAAGTTTTCTATCGGATGTTTTTTTGTTATAATGCTGCAATAAATATAGTATTTATATTTACTATTATAATATTTTAATGAATTTATAAATAAAATATCGAATAAATATCTATATTAAATTTAAAAGTGAATTTTAAATAAAAATTTTGTATAATATAAAAGTTTTCCATCAAATGTTTTTTTATTAATGCTACAATAAATATAGTATTTATATTTACTATTATATTTACTACTATGCTGTTCAAATGAGACATGATTATTATTATCATAATTAATTAATAATTAATTATACGATACGATATATAATTAATAATACGAGATTTTAATTTACAAATATATCAATAAATTACAAATATATATATATATAATAAATATATCAAATCAACGTATTTATTGAAAAATTTTATATCACGTGATTTTTAATTTTTGAATAAGATTTAAAAATAATATTTTATTTTATAAATTTATATATATTTCATAATAGAATTATTTTGTTTAGTAATTCCAAAATAAAAGTGATCTATATAATTATTTATTTTATTTCATAATATATTCAATATATATACATATATATATATATATATATGTTTAGAATAAAATTAATTTTAAATAAATGGTTAATACAATTTTAAAAGTATTGCTTGTAAAGTGGTGCCATCTACATCGCAGTTATACAAGAATTGCAAATGTAATGTGTGTTAGTCTTCAGCTGTTTAGATCTCTTGTTTGACGTTAATTATTTCAATGCCGCCGCGTATTTTTAATACAATTGTTTCAATATCGTTTTTTTCATTGTGGAAATAACGAATTTTCAACATGGTGTTAAGTGAAGTGAATAAATTTCTTCATGAATTAGAAAAAGCTGAATTAGAGGTAAGTCATCATATGAACGATTTCAATATAGGTTATGCCGACTATTATACATTTATATATTATTTTGTTGAATATTTCTCTCAAATATTTATATATTATATTTTTTATATATTATTTTTATATTATTTATTGAATATTTTTTTTTTATAGGCGCCTGGTGGAGTTGCATCATCACAAACTTATGCTCAATTATTAGCTGTATATCTTTATCAAAACGATCTGTGAGTATATAATTTCTATTTTTTCCATTATATTTTTCATTATTTTAATTAAATCAAAAATAAAATAATATTTTTGATTGAAAGATATGTTATTGGATAAATATAAAACATTTTAAATTTACGTATTAATATGATTGTTTATATATTATACTGACGCCATTTATAAATCTATAATACAATATATCCATACTTGCGAAATATGTATAACCTTTTCTTCTTAATAATATCAAGTAATAATTGAAACAAAAATTTAATCATGTTTTATTTGTGTAAATATGACTATATAATATTATTTATATGTATTTATATGTATATTTTTATTTGTATTTAATGATGGTCTTTTTAAAAATAATAATTCAATTTTTAATAAAATAAAATTCGATCTATGATAAAATTTCTTTATATTGTATATTATTTTTTATGTATTAATATTTTATTAAAAATTATTTTATAAATATTTAATTAGTTTTATGAATAATATGTACATTGCTCAAGCTTCAATGCTTTTTAATGTACATAAAAAATTATGTAAAAGCGATTATATATAATTTATTAATTTATTGAATTTTTTTTTTTTTTCAATTACTTAATTAATTTATTGAAGTTAATTAATATTTAATTTTATCTTTGAATTGATTTATCTTTTTTATGTACGTATTAATTTACATTTTATGTTCCAATGTTTGTGTTCAAATATTTTTCTGAAGAAACTTAGTCTTTATTTTTACTTTAACAGAGCTTGTAACAATTTGCTTTTTACTTGGCTTTTTACTATTAACAATACCTCAACAACATAAATTCATTCCTTATAAGACCTGAACGAGAGAGGTTTCGATCTGTCTTTGTTTGATCGAAAAATCGCCGTCGCAGATGCAATGCCAAATACTTGTGGAAGCGGATACCAACGGATCTGAAAAGCGGAAATGCAGAACTTGGTCAAATATGGATGGTAGGACAGCGTATGTGGCAAAGAGACTGGCCTGCAGTTCATGTCGCCCTCAATGCAGAATGGAGTGAAGATGTTTCTGATATTATGGCTGCTTTGAAAGGTATATATTGCCAGAGTATCTATTCTAATTAATCATAATATTTTTTTGTATATTTATTTGAAAGTTATTTATTTTTTTCAGAAAGAATTTTTAAAAATTCTTTTTCAATTTTTTTAAAAAGCAAAAACTATACCTATGAAATCTTATATATAAAAAAAAGGAATAATTTTGATGCTTGCATCAATTATTGCTTGTTTTTTCAGATAATGTTCGAGAAAGGGCAATCACCTTAATATCAAAGGCTTATTCTTCACTAAGTTTAACCGTATTTGCATCAATGACAGGCTTAACATTAGAGGAAGCGCGTCGTGTAGCAATTGAAAGGGGTTGGAACGTAGATGGAACAATGGTGCAACCTTGCAAGATTCAGAAAGAAGAGAGTAACCTCGTGAACGAGGTGTGTCTTACTGAGGATCAGCTGTACAAACTCACTCAATTCGTGTCTTTCTTGGAAAACTGAACAAGCAATGAAAGTCATCAATGATGAAATTCACGCAACACAAAGACACGATCGACAGTACTTTAAACTTAGTTTTACCTCGTAATCATATTATATAAAGGAGGAAGTGTGCTTCAAAAGAGACACCTGTGTCCCTTCCCTAAGTATACACCCCGGACTACCTACGCGTCCTGCTCATTCAATCGGAAGACTCACCGATGAAGCTCGCTGTAAGCATGGAGTCAACAACTCGATTAATCAATAACCGCCTGCTATATGCGAGAAAACTGGCATTTTCTAGAAGAAGCACTTTCCACAGAAGAGAAGAAAAAAATACATGGACCGAATCGCGGATTTTAACTTAATATTCAATATATATATACGTTTTGATTAATCAGTTTAACAATTAAAATAGCTGGAACAAATTATTCTGTTGTATAAAATAATAATCACATACATGATCATGTATATTTCCTGATATAGCATCCCATGTGTAAAACATTGCTCACCTTTATCATTTTGTACTTTTTATTAATTTTTTTTTTTTTTTCAGATTCAATTTTTCTCCTTCCCCCCCTTCCTCAGACGAGCTTCATTTATTTCTTCGAGTAATGATATTTTTATTTTACTAACAAATTAATTTCTTCATTACCTCCATTAGAAGGTACATGCTCGTAACATCTAATTTTTTAAATATAGGATTAAATTGTGTAACATCAATACAGGATTCTAAAGCGATAAAGTAATGCTAGCTAGGGGAAAGGGTGATCTCGAAACGAGTGGCTTCAATCGCGCGTGAAAGCAAGCGGGTGTATCGTGTTCGGTAAGGCTGTTGGAAAAATCCGCGCAAGGAGATTCTGCCGCGGGCATTGCGTCATGCAAATCGAATCCTCGCGGGTCAGAAAAATCGCGGACAGATAGGTATGCTCAGTTGGCTCGTATCTTGTGGCCCCCGACATGCCTCCGAGTAATTCTCTATGAAATCGATTCTGACCGTCCCGTATTGTAAACGTTGAATATGCACAATCGCACGACCATTGCGTAACGTTAGATATTCTCAAAGAAATCGTTTCCACTAGTCAACAGGTAGCCAGTGTGTGCACCCACCGTCATTGGTGCCCGGTTATTCTTTTTTGGCTCCGCTACTATTCTAGAAAGTTGTTGCACCGGTATCACCAATCCTACACGATACGCGAGTTTCATATTTTACATGGTGTACCATGCAACGTGTAAATTTCCATAGATATCTATACTTAAAAAAAAAGTGCCCCTGTTATCATTTCTTTCTTTTCGTAATGATTGATCTTTATTTTCTGTTAGATATGTTGTAATTGAAGTAATACGGGAAATTTATCGCAAAATATGAGTTTCGTTGAAATAATTTTGATATGCTATTGAAAGCTAAATATTTAGAAAATTCAACGTGTTGAAACGTGGGAAGAAATGAAAAGAAAATCCTCCGACGTATCTGGAAGGCGTTCCCACGCGTTCGTACCACGTCAAAGAACCTATCCTAGTCGTTGTTTATATCGTGAACGTGCGATCGGCACAATAATCGGTATCGAAAAAGGCGTTCGGTCAGCGGGGGGTTGCAAAATGATTAGAATGTATCTTAGGATGAGGATGACGATGTCGACCTCATGCTACATATAAGAGACTCGTTGCCATGGCGTATTCTATTCACTATTTCTTCGAATAATGCAGATTCATCATCGTTCCAACGAGCGATGATTGCATCGCGATATCGTGCAATATCTTTTTCATTTTTTTATTCTCCTCTTTTCACGAACTCGTTGCTTCGATAGGCAACGATTATCCACAAAGGGTGAAGCAGTTGCTTGAGAATAGGTGAATGAGTTATGTTTCTTTTTTTTTTTTTTTTCTTTTACTCGCAATATTCGAATAATTAATATTATAATTTAAAGTATAAACGGTATATTGAATATCCTACTCACATATTAACATTTTCAGGGATATTCTACGAGATCAAAGTTTGATTAGAAGAAAAAATTAACCGGATCCAGATGATCAAACGCTACTCCCTCGAGTATCTGCACGATTTCTAGAAGCTTGTACGCTCGGTACCACCAAGTATTACTAAAGACGAGTACTAGTTTGCAACATAAAACGCGAAGGTGAGAGGCAAGAGGGAAGACCCGGGTTACCAGTTACCTTACCTGACCTCCCCTCGTAAGAATACGCGCCGGTGACTCGCGTCTTCTTTCCCGAGAACGTAGCTGCGCCGCGGCCTGTTGCAGTGACCTTTGCACGTCGCGGAAAACGCCGATGCTCCGTGAGCAGCGAGCGAGTGGCACGAATCGAACGCGACTAGTCGATTTCGAAAGTCTCATCGCGGCGGAAGAGCCGTCGGGGTGAGAGGACAGGGACGAGGAGGATGATGATAATGATGAAGAACAACTAGAAGGCCGACGAAGAACGTTCCCCTTCGTTTAACTATCGACGTTCCTTGTTAAGTCACTGATAGATCCGTTCAAATGGAGAAGCAGAAGGGGGTGTTTCGACACCTGTCGTCCCCTTGTTCGTCGAGCACCACAAGGTCGTTTGGAAACGTATTTGTACAAAGAAAGATAATAGAAATGATGTTTAAATCATAAAAAAGTTTTTCTTTGTGCAAAATTGGTAAGTGAAATATCTGTGGAAACTTTGCCATTTGCGAATACTTCATTCAGAGATCAGTGAATAATAGAGGGTGTATAGTGATTATTAAATTAGTCATCGAAACAGGAAGATGATGGATATCTCTTTCTGTCTTCTCTTTTCTTCCTTTCTCTCTCTCTCTCTCTCTTTTTTTTATTTAATTATCTAATCTGAAAAGAAGTAACCTTATATATTTACACTTTCATACTCTTTGATTATTACATTTCCTAAATAAAGTGAAATGATATTAAATAAATATTATTATAACAATGTTTCCAGATTATCCAGTTTAATTAATGCCGAATCGTGCAACACAGAAAACCATTTGATTAGTTAGAGATTGCATCTGAATCATGATTCGAAGAATCCCCAATCTCAATCCGATTCCAGCTTATCAAGTCAATTTTCTTCCTCTTCCTCGATGCTCGATTCGACCAATTCCCGAGAATTCGCATTAACACTTTTATCACGAAAAAACAAGTCCTACCTGTTATCGAACTGAAAACCATTTGGAATCGAGTGGAACAATAAGTTCGTCGAACCACTCTCTGCGGGGGTTGTACCGTTACGAGTACCAGAACGTGTCTATCGTCCAAAGCAGAAAGAGAGAATAGGTAAGGAAAAGAGAGGGAAAAGGCACAATTGAATGTTGGCGGATCCGTGGGCGGGACGCAGTTCGATTGTTTCTTTATCGCGATCATCCTCGCTCCTTCTTCTACGGCCCGGGCAATGGCAATCTCACCACCAATCCGCGCAATCATTCGTGTACTCGATAGATTTCTATATCGTGGCCTGTATCATTGTCCTTGTTGCGTCGCGCGACGCGTTGGTTCGCGCCGCGTTCTCGGTGGGTGCGCTCAGAATGCACCTTCTCCGCGGCATTCCACGCGGAAAGAAAAGCGATCGTTACCTTTGCACAATTGCATCTTGCGGAACGTAACGGTGATCGGCGATCTGCTGGGGGATCATCGATTCGTCTCGATCGAGACACCCCCGCAGAATCTCGGAATCCTCAATCGTGACATTTCAGACGCGAAACGAAGTCCGTGCTCGGTTTCGTGAGAAACGAATTTTGGGGAGCGTCCGACCAACTTGAATCTTAATGGATTTTAGAAGAACAATAACATGGAATGATAGTTTGGCGCGCGAACACGCGCGCTCAAGACTGTATCGCTCAAACTTTCAATTCTAGATCCTTTGTCTGGGAATGTCCGATCGAAGTATTCCCAACCTGAAATCCAATACGCAACAATGCTTTCTCGTGGCCCGCATTCGTTGGCCCCGGCTACCCCTTGCATCGTGGCTCGCTAGATTACGGGTCGATCAACGATAATCGAATTACCCGTGCCTGCGAAATATATCTAAATAAGGACTCTCACGCGGTTCCAGAGACGGATAACAGGCCAGTGTTACGTAACGGGGATGAAGGAGGGAAAGAGAAACTTGCAACACGACTGAATTTAACCTGCATTAGGAATTCATGACTACCGAAGAGAAATTGGCCGTGACGCTGTATCGTGACAAATATGCGGATAAAGTTCCACCGATCGACACGATAATCCTCTTCGTATTTGCAACAATGTGTAACTCTTACACTTTTTAAACTAAAAGAAAAAAAAAAAAAAAGGAATCCTCGCTATCCTGTTCCATGTCGAATCGTACGTTCTTTTGCATCTTTTTTTTTTCATCGATCATCGAGTCTCATCTTCGTTATTCCGGTTATTCCGTTATTCCACGTGCCTAGCGACACAAGATTTCGTATACAAGAAGAGAAGAAGAAAAAAAAAAAAGTAATAATTTTGCCAATTCCAAATGGACTTTCGACTTGCGAAATAGGAGGTAGGGCTAGACACTTGCAAGTCGAGTCAAGTAGAACTCGTTCCTGCGACTGGTCCGGCTATTAGCTCATATTCGAATTCATTTTTGATGTTCAGACTGCTCGTGGCAACCTCTATTTAATGACGAGCAATTAAACGTATCGTTACATCGCCGAGAGAAAGGTAACTGCGATCGGAAATCTGTAAGAAGGCTTGAGAAAAGTAACTTGTTCGCTCGCTGTTCCGCGAAAAGTAAGAGGAATCGTCCGAAAGCGGTTTTGAAAGCGACGTTGTACGAAGCTTTTTCGAGGGTTACGATGTTGGAAGCCGATAGGCCCCCTTCCTCGGTTGCATCGGTGGCACGCCACGAGGCGGCTGCATAGCGCAGCGTGCGCGCACGGCGGGCTCAGACTTCTGGGATTTCGCAACCGCGGCACTCTCGCCACTCCGGAGATAAAGAGAAATACCTGAGAAGGTGCAGGTGAGGCAGGAGGCGTAATGAGGCGGCGAGGGGGAGAGGAGGAGGAGGATAGCTTCTCGCTGGCGACCTAACACAAGAGTCGTAGAAAGAGAAGCGAGAAGGGAGAGGAATTGGCGGGAACAAAGACAGAGGGGACCGTCGAACGGGAGAGAAGGCAGCGAACGGAATATGGGATCACCTAAGGTTAGGGTTCGCGATGCTGCGCCCACGTACCTATTGTCTCTAACTTTCGTGCGCTGCGGGAAAAAGGACGCGAGTTGCCTACGGTGTATAGCGAGCTGCGCCACGTGCATCGTCGACCCCTTCTCGCTCTGGGATGCTCCGATATTTTGCTTCCTCGAGTGACGAAGAAAGGGAGAGAAAGAGAGAGAAGAAGAAAGATGCATCTTTGGTGCATGCGAGAGACGAATATTCGATTTCGTTTTGGAATTTTTTTTTTTTTTTTTTTTTTACCAGATTGGATTATACTTGT